AGACACCAGAGTGAGTTATTTTGATTCGATCAGATTTTTGTTAAAACCATGATTTGGATCGTGGGATAGGAAAACCAAAAACTGTTAGCGACTTGGTCCAGCATATTTTAGACATACATTTTTTAAGAATAGATTCATTAATTCTGACTTTTCTTACTCTTTGGCTCTTTTGCACGTCTTTAGAGGGATGGTATTGGGCAGGAGGTGCTTTGAGGTCCGTGTCTGCGCCTGTCCTGGTCGCGATCGGAAAACTGAGGAAGAAAACAAGACGAAGACCAAACCAGTCAAGAAAAAGAGTATGCTTCATCTTTTTAATGTTCACTGGACCGTGTTGCTGCTTCACTTACCATGATGTGTCTTTATTTTTTTAGAAAACTCTTCTGCTCCCGAAGCGTCTAGTGCCAAAAAATCTAAATCTGGTTCCAGCGGTGAGGAGGAGGAAAAGGAGACCTATATTCTTACTGTAAGTATGGGGCCTGCAAATCTACAGCTGGATGTCATCGCAATGTTACCAAAATGATCTATTAACCCTGTACCTTTTTAACCTGTTTGCAGATAAAGGGTCGAAACCGCTACCTTTGGTTCAAGACCCTGAATGATGGGCTGGAACTAATGGACAAAGAGGGGTAAGGAATTTCCCCAACTCTACATAAAGGGCAGGCAGCCGTCTCTGGACTTTAAACTATGGCACATTATAAAGAAAGGCTTTATCAGTTACCATGACGTCTTTCATTGAGACTGTAGAAGGGGAATTTAAGCGGAAAAACAAGTGTTGTAAAAGCATAACCTGTTGAGTGTGGATCGATAAATAGAATATCATCCAAGAACATGTTTAAAACACGTTTGAAGTAGGTTTTGATTATTTGTGCAGCTAATTTAAACTCCCAAATTCAGGAACTCTGACTGTCGCATTAAATTTTTTTCCTTCCTCTCATCTTTTCACTTATATTCCTGGCCGTCTTCTTCAGCAAGAACTTTTGGGGCCTGTGGAGGTCGTCCATGTCCGTCGGGAGTCTGTCTGGTTGCTGTGGAGGCTCTAATTTAATGTTAATTCACAATTTGCTTTCATTGGAATTGAATATTTGATCCCATTTAGGTTACGTTTATGAAGGACCAACTCTGCCATATTTAAAAATAAATACAGAAATAAATAAATGCTAATTAAATGTATAAGCATACAATTAATTGCCAACAAAAAAGTGAGACATAAATGTATATAACTCTTAATTAGCTTCTTTATTTATTTGCCTTTGTAATATTTACCTTATTTATTTTTCTGTCCTTTATAATCTTCAACTTTATTTTTTAATTACTTATATTTTTAAGTATTTATTTATGTGCATGTTATAATATTTTTGTCTGTTTTATTCTTCCTTTGTATTTTTTTACCTTAGTTATTTCTTCGCCGCTGTTTATTTCTCTCTGCCCTTTTTACATTTCTCTCTGCCCTTTTTACGTTTCTCTATGCCCTTTTTACATTTCTATCTGCCCTTTTTACATTTCTCTCTGCCCTTTTTACATTTCTCTATGCATTTCTGTCTCATTATGCAAATGAGGAGGGGGTGTGTCCTAGAGAGTCAACTTCTGCTCATTGGTTGGCTTGGCGGTCCATCTTCTTAACTCTCAGAGCTCAGAGTACTAAGTTAAATGTTCTCTTTTCTGTTGCTGTTGTTCAATAAAAGTACGTTTTAAGATAATTTGAGGCGAGAACATTATACTTTTAAGCATCACTATATGGCCCATTCACAGATTTAATGCGTAATTTAAAAGAAAATGTGACGAACTTGAGAGGACCGTGGCAACCAGCAAAGCTCCGAAGCTGACGACAGCCAGGTCTAACCACAGCCCATCTGCAGCGGCCCTCTCTCGGCATAACCGTGTGTGAAGCGTGTTGGTTAGCATTTTACTACATCGGTCGAATCTACAGGAGGAGAGTCTGATGTCGAGTCTGAAGTCATTAGAACTTGAGTAGGGACTTTGCCAAACACAACAAAAAATCGCCATCATAGCCTGGCTATAGACCTGGCTGCCGTCAGCTTCGGAGCTCCGCTGGTTGCCACGGTCCTCTCAAGTTCGTCACATTTTCTTTTAAATTACGCATTAAATCTGTGAATGGGCCATATGGTGATGCTTAAAAGTATAAGGTTCTCGCCTCAAATGATCTTAAAACGTACTTTTATTGAACAACAGCAACAGAAAAGAGAACATTTAACTTAGTACTCTGAGCTCTGTGAGTTAAGGAGATGGACCGCCAAGCCAACCAATGAGCAGAAGTTGACTCTCTAGGACACACACCCTCCTCATTTGCATAATGAGGCATAAAAGGGCAGAGAGAAACGTAAAAAGGGCATAGAGAAACGTAAAAAGGGCAGAGAGAAATAAACAGCGGCGAAGAAATAACTAAGGTAAAAAAATACAAAGGAAGAATAAAACAGACAAAAATATTATAACATGCACATAAATAAATACTTAAAAATATAAGTAATTAAAAAATAAAGTTGAAGATTATAAAGGACAGAAAAATAAATAAGGTAAATATTACAAAGGCAAATAAATAAAGAAGCTAATTAAGAGTTATATACATTTATGTCTCACTTTTTTGTTGGCAATTAATTGTATGCTTATACATTTATTGAGCATTTATTTATTTCTGTATTTATTTTTAAATATGGCAGAGTTGGTCCTTCATATACGTTCACACTGCAGGCTTTAATGCTAAATTACGATTTTTTGTGAAATTCCAAATTCACTTTCCAAATATATGTGACTTGTATGTGATCTCCTGAGTGAATGGCATTCAATGTAATGACATCACAAGCAAGTGTTCTCTGTGTTTACAGAAGTAAACATGGATGGTAATGCTGGAGCACATCTAGGAATTTTTCCCAACCTTAAATCTTTTCAGGATGGTTAACCATAAATGCTACTCTCCGCATCAACGTCCACCATGGTTGTTGTTTTTCTTCCTGCTTGCGAGTAGAAAGATGCAGAATAGTGACCTTTGTTGAGTACTAATGACGTTTAGGTCAGATGAATGTTACCTAGCAGTTCAGACACGGGTCGCAATAGAGAAGATCAGATTCTTATCGGATTCAGGACCACATAGCCAAGTGGCCTGGGTCGCATGGGGGGGGTCGGATTTGGGTCACTTCAGGCTGCTGTGTGAACGTAGCCTTAGTTTTTTGTGGGGGTTCTTCTGAGTTAGTTCTTCTGCATTTTCAAAAGCCTAACCATTTATATCCATGGCTTGATTTACCAAGTAGTGAATAATGTACATTTACCATAAAATAAACTTAAATTATGCACCTTCAACATAAAGGCTAATTTCTACTACTGCAACAATCCTTGCCTCTGAAATATCTGCTTCAATTTTGAAAGGCGCATTTACCTTTGATTTCTTGACAGAGCTGTTATAATTCAGTAAAATCGAGTCTTGGTTTTAGGAGCCAGCTTTGTTTTGTATTGGCATTGCTGTGCCATACACCACCCAGGTAAACATTTTGTCCTTGCATGTCCAGATAGTTTTGTCAAATGCTGGGAAAATGTACAATTCTGTTGGACTTTTAGAAGTTGAAAGTTTCAAGTTGATCCTTTGAGTTTAGTTGCAGCTCTTTTCAGCGAACACTAGAGGCTGTGTTAAAATGTGTTGGAGCCCAGCAAGAACTACCTGAATAACAGAAGCTTCTGTCAGGAAAAAACACAGATCTGTCAGTGCAAAATATAATTTCTTCCTTTTTTTTTTTTTTCTTTTAGGGGCAAAAAACCCAAACTTGAAATCCCGGCCCCCTCCAGTGGAAAGAGGCTGATGCGAGGCCAAAGTGAAAGTGATTAACTACTCCCCTTCATTTTCTTCTTTTTTTAATGTTTTTTATTTTTATATACTTCCTGTAATCTTGATACTAAAAACGTCCGTTTAATGGGGATGAATTTTTTGTTTTCTATCGGATCAGACTTGGTCATGGGGTTTAATTCAAATGTAAGAATCTGTTTACTGTTTTCCCTGTATTAGAATTGGTAATCATTGTTTGCTAGCTTAAGCTGTTCATGTTTTTTTTACTTTGTTTCAAACGATTCGCTGCCATTTTCTTATAACAGTTGGGTTCTGCTGGGTTTTGCAGGCAGTATTTTACTTCTATTAAAAGACTTCAACCAATATTTGTTCTGTAACCAGGTGAAATAAAATGTATCTTGAAAATTATGGTTGGATTCTTCAGTGCCTCAAGCCAAATGAAGCCCAGTTATCAGAATATGTTCTTAGTAGGAAAAAAAAAAATGTATTAGACGGGTTTTAGTAACTGTAATTGTTTTTTTTATTTTTAATCTTCTAAATTTCATTTTTTATATGTTTCGTCTAAAGTAGTGTTGGTAGGCAACGGGTTGGCTGGATCACCCTTTAAACATTAGGTTTATTTTTTTTGTTTTTTATACAAACATAGTTAGAATATGGCCCATGTTATAAAACAAATTGTCATTTGATACAGAAGAAAAATATCTAATGATGTTGAGCTGTATTTAAAAATGGTGATTCAACTGCATCTTTACAGCATTAGATTCCATTTATTTTCTTATTAAAACCACTTCTGGCACTTTGGTTTGATGTGACCAATCGCTGACTGAGGACCACTTTGACATAAACACTGCCAAAACACAATAAGCAGAGGCATTTTTGGTGTCATTACTGTTTTTTTTTATTATATATATTTGTTATCTGGGGATTTAATTCTGCAGAATTTTTTGTTTTTCTGTATTCCACCATTTTCATGTATTTTTCTACTAATTGCTATTTACACTTGAGCTTTAAATTGAAATAAACGTCTTGCTTCTCAATGTGTTGTGTTTTGTTAGTGCAAACCTTTCATTGATTTGCATGTTTAGAATATAAATGCAAAGTAGCCACGTCCAAAGGTATTTTGGATTGAATAGAGCCTTGTGATGAGTGTCATATTTATTACCTATGGGCGGAGATGTTGCTGGAGCATTTTGGGACAAATAATTTCTGTTCTGAGCGAGGTGAAACATTTAAGCCCAGGTTTGGTAGAGAGACAATCTGTCGAAGTTTAGCTTCTCTTCATTTCACTGCTTTGTTTAAGTTAATGCTCTTAAGGGCCTTTTTAGTAGGGACAATTTGACAGCCTTTCCACAAACGGGACCCCACCATGGGATGCCTATCAGTCACGCATAAGCTGTGTATCTCAATTTGTTTGGGTGAGTATCATTCTTTGATCGTTTTTTATGGTAGTGTTAGTAATCTGCATATTTATAAGCATTTTCAGCTAGTGAAACAGAAACTTAAATCTATATATTAATGCTATTAAAGAAAAGCGGAAAGAGATTGATGTGGTTTAAAACAAATGGGCTTCTATCTCCCTGTTCTTTCTCAGGTTTTTTGGTGTACACGGCTGCAGAAAGACAGTACTTCACCATTTCCCACAACACCACCTGGGAGCAGGCCAGGAACCACTGCCAGGTACAAAAGGACCTTATGATTAAGTTTGTTGGTGTCCGACTTTATTCAGTTGGACGCCATCAGTGAGAACGATTATCAGTCTGGCTTTTAGGAGGTTGTGTTAATTCCAGCACCATATGATGTTACCCACCAGTCTGTTCTGTAGGATTGCATGCTGCATCCAAAAGGAAACCAGAGGTCTGTTACACTTAGACTCAACTTTATTTATCCCTTGGGATTACTCCTTCATGGAAATTCTGGTTCCAGTAGCTTATATAGAGTACAAAGAGTTAAAGCAAGATGCCATTAAAGTTAAAATACAACAGACAATATAGAAATAGTATATAGTGCAAAAAGGCATGAAGAAAAGAGGTTTTAATGACCGAGAATGTTTCCCTTAGATATAAAAATATCTACACAGTGGAGAGCTAAGGGAAGACTGCACAGTAGTCGACTTTGGTTATTGCACTGCAGAAATGTACTACTACTGACCATATAAATATGTTTCCATTGGTATCTTTTCTTAATTTCGAGACTGAAAGCAATTCAGTTTATTATATAGCGCCAATTCACAACACGTTATCTCAAGGCACTTTACAGCTCACCAGATCATACAGTCAAATTTTCAGTTTTCTATCTAAGGATAACCAGCTGATCGCATCGACTCATTGACTCAAAGATAATCCCTCACTCTAAGCATGCTTGTAGCGACAGTGGAGAGGAAAAACTCCCTTTTAACAGGAAGAAACCTCCAGCAGAACCAGGCTCAGTGTGAGCGACCATCTGCCGAGGCCGACTGGGGTTGAAGGAGACAGAAGCAGAGATAGAAAAGGCAACTGTAAAAGGCGGCCCCATCCAGGAAACACACAGCCAGGCAGATGAGCTCCGGGCCAGACAGGCTGATCTCCAACATCTATAAGCAGAGTTGTTCTCTCCAGGATTGTGTCACAGCCAAACAGGAACAGACAAGGCAAAGTTATTATGAGAAAAAAGCAGAGAGAGCATAACATTAGAGACTGAACTAACAGATTCTGCAGAAGGAGAGAAGAGAGATAGAATGATGAAAAAGGGGTCCCTATGTCCTCCAGAACTCTAACCCTTTAGCAGAATAACTATAGAGAAAGTTCAGGATAACCTGAGCCACTCTAACTATAAGCTTTATCAAAAAGGAAAGTTTTAAGCCTAGTCTTAAAAGTAGACAGGGTGTCTGCCTCACGGACTAAAACTGGTAGTTGGTTCCACAGGAGAGAAGCCTGTTAACTAATAGATCTGCCTCCCATTCTATTTTTAGAAATTCTAGGAACCTGCAGATTGAGAGCGAAGTGCTCTTTTAGGAACATAAGGAACAATCATATCTGTGATATAAGACGGCGCTTGGCCATTTAAGGCTGTAATGCCAAATGTATCATATTTGATACATACGGTTACTGAAATGTTTTGCGTCTGACACCTTTTGCATAATTTAATGGTAAAAACTTTGCTCAAAATCCTATTGTACACAATCAGATATACCTGATAACAGAGGGCAGACGACTACACAAAAAATAATCTTGACTTATCACGTAGTAATAAATTATTAATATCAAAAATGTATTTCTGATTTTTCTTTTTACATATTTTGTTAAAAGGCCAAATAAGGACTTCAAACCAAAAAAAAAATAACTTTCTGTTTTGTTTTATTCTTGGATCTGACTTTAAAGGGTTAATGCTTCATATGTGAGAAGGAGGATTTTAAATTCGATTCTGGGTTTAACAGGACGCCAATGAAGAGAAGCCAGGATAGGAGAGATAGGATCTCTCTTTTTAATTATAATCAGAACTCTGGCTGCAGCATTTTGGATCAGCTGAAGACTTTTAACTACAGTTTGTGGACTTCCTAATAGTAAAAATTATAATAGTCCTACCTTGAAGCAACAAATGCATGGACTAGTTTCTCAGCATCACCCCTGGACAGGATATTTCTAGCAGACCCTTTAATTGCACGCCTTTACTTCACTGAACTAGTTGGTTAAATTAAACATCTCATTTACATTTTTAGCACTAAAATATAAAATAAGGCAATAATAACAAAACTAAATAAACGTCATAACAACGAAGTCCTGTAAGTGTTAAAAGCCAGTGAATAAAAATGTCTCAAACCGTGTTTTAAAATTCAGCAGGGAAGGAGCCTCCCTAATGTGCGGCGGGAGGCTATTCCATAAACGAGGGGCAGCGATAGCTAATTTTTAGGAAGGCTTGAGTTAGAAGCCAAATAATACCTGGCATTAAGTCAGGAAGTAATGTGGAACCCAACCTGCCTGGTTTATCATTTCATCAAGCTTTCTAGGTTCATCTGTCGCAACACTTTTTAAGTCTATTAAGTCTAGTATGGTTTGATGAAGGCAAAATTTAATTGTTTATATAACAGTTTTGTTTGGTAACGGCAAGATACACAGACATCCTTTTATCAAATATATTTGTGGAGAAGGTCAATCTGATGAAATTCTAAAATTCAAGTTTTTAGGTAGTGTATGTCTTAACTGCTGACTAGTCGCATGTAGAATTAGTAGATGATCTAACTGTCATTAAAAAATATCTTGGACTTTTAAAAATCTTCCTGGAGTAAAGCTGGTTAAAGTCCACAAATTGCAAATAATAAACTTGATCTGGAGGTGAGGGTTTTATTGCTACCTTAGTCTTGTTTCCCAAAGAATAAAACCACAGAAGTGTTGACTTGTTTTTCACTTGATTGTCAGGTTAATCTTTGAGAAGGAAAGAAAAAACCGTTTACAGTAAGGAAAAATGGTCAGTCATTTACTGTGTTTTATGTAAAAACTAAAGATGAAACCTTATGGCCTGTACCGAGCATAGTGGAGGTTTTGTGATTCTGTGGGCATTTCTGTGTTTCTCTTCCAAAGTTCTTGGCATCACAAAGTCTGAAATACTGGGATTACTAATATAAAAAGCTGTCCAACCAACAGAAAATGGGTCTGCATTGGTTTTAAATTTTATTATGTCAGCATAAGATGAGGCCACTTGGTGAGTCCGTAATAGATTACTGATATTTAACCTTTTGTTAATTTCCTTCCTCTCAAGTGTGACATCATTTACTGGTTAGTCATTGTTGCTTTTTTAATTTCTTGGATTTTATGGGATTTGCGTGCAACCTGCTGCCATTATATTATTTTTGTTCATATATATATTTTTTTTTCATATCGTTACTTTCTTTTAACCTAAATTAAGTTTCATAACTTAAAGGAGCATCACTAGTTTGTCCCAACAATAATAAAATCTGTCCTCTAGTGTTTCTGAAGGAAGCAGTATTCTTTAAGAAAGGAATGGGTGGGTTAAAGTCAACCCCTAAAACTAAAAACTAAAGAGGAATGTTAGCTTTGCAGGTTAAGGGATGTTACTCAGCCAGAAAGGGTATTTAAAAAGGCAAGAAAGGAATCATTTCTAATAAGAAGACAAAATCAGTCATTTCAATTGGAAGCATTTAAGTCTGTGGGAAACTACCAATAGAAAGTTTTATTGCTGATGTCAGGACCTGACCAAACCTTTCCCATTCACGAGTGACGGAAACTTGTGACAAGGGAGGCTTAAAAGTTAAAACCTCTGTTCATCCACTACATGCTTTACAGTGACAAGAGAAGGTTCCATTTACACAATGGAATATGTTGACTGTCTATAAATTATGAAGCCAGTATTTCTAGCTAACATTAATTGTTAACGCTTGAAAATTTCATAGTATAAAACTGTTATTACGTAAAAAGGATTATGCTGGCCTGCTATATCTCACACACATTACAAAAAAGAACAAACTATTTGCATAAACCATTTGGATTAAGACCTGGTCAAAGAGAATTCAGGCTTTTCAGCCCAGCTAAAAAAACAAAACAACAGTGTTATTGATGGGCTCTGTGTATGCCCCATGACACTCAATCTCTCCGGTTCTTTTTAAAGAACTCTTTGAGTAGGATTTCATAATTAACATGTATTAAATAACCAAGAGACATAACAACAGATTCTGATAGAAATTGTAATCTTACTCAGATCAGAGAAATTGTTTAGAGTTATAGAAGGCAGCTGTTCCGCTCTGGGCTCACCTCAATGGAAGTGCTCCCGATTTACAGTTAAAAAAGCATTTTTTACACCTCCAGTCTGCCACATCATCTTATTTTACATCATTAGCAGATGATTAGACATCCATGGCTCCAGCCTTATCAAAATATTACACTTTGTTCTTAGCTGAAGGACACCGCTCTCATTCCATTTCCAAATCTTTGCCACGTACAGAATGAAGATTATAACTATATCCAGACAGAGGAACTGTCCTTATTAGATTAAAACATCAGTTCTGACACACAACAGACAGCCAATACCAAGGTCTAATAAACTCGCACATCTTCAATGATAATTATCCTAACAACCGAAACAACTATATAAGAACCTCTATATTTTTTTCTAAACGAGATTTTGATTCAAAAGATTAAAGCAATTATTGATTTTTTGATGCATTTATAATTGCAGATTCAAATATACACATGCTGAACCACTGATGTTAACGAAGTCGAGCTCAGCAAGTTGCTGTATTTTTTTTTGTTTTGATCAAAAAGCCTCTGGCCTAATTCTGACCAGAATGAGTAAAGTTCATTTGAACAGGTTGGTATCCTGGTAGAGATCTGACTTTGTAAACATAAACTAACAGAACCTTTCAGAAGCTTAAGCTTGGCGTTGGGGATTTTGTGTAGTTATCACCATGCAGTCGATTTAGCTCAGGTTCTCGGACTGGAAAATCTCAATCTTTCCTTATATTCAGATCCTAGCCTTCATGATTGGCATTTTAGAACATAGTTACATAAATTGATTGTTCTGTCATGTCTGCTTAGGTCTGCTATAAGGAGATGGTGACTCTGACTCCAGAAAACACCCACATCGTCTCCAAAATGGCCAACTCCGACCACTGGATTGGCCTTCGCAAGTATATAAACTACAAAGGAACCAGTAACAACGATACGCCCTGGACAGGGTGGGCCAACGGGGATCCACTTTTCTTCCAGAACTGGTACCCCGGCTGGCCGGTGTTTAAATCCCCTCTGCCAAAGATTGACTGCTGCAGCTGCTCTTGCACCTGCCCGGTTCTCAACAGTACAACCACCAGCCCACCAGCTAGATTTTCCATCTACACAGGTTCAAACACAGCCTCAATGGTAACAAGCAACACTGAAGTGACCAGCGATGAGGGCACCAGTGCAAGCAACACTGAAGTGAACAGCGATGCGGGCACCAGTGCAAGCAACACTGAAGTGAACAGCGATGCGGGCACCAGTGACCCTAGAAACACCACGAGCTCGCACTCACTCTGGTCGGCCACACCGCAGCCGCCTGTCATTTCAACATGCGAAAGAGCTCCTATGTGGCCGCCCATCATTCCAGAGAATAATAAAAACTACATTGAAAACTCCTGTGTGGTCATACTCAGATTTGGGCCTTGGGTTGAAAAGGAATGCTCGGAAAAGCTACCTTCCATTTGTTATGAAGGTAAGGCTGAGATAAAAAGCAGCTTCTAGCCTTTGCAGCTTGATGCTCACAAAATAATCACGTTAGCAGAATAAAACTTTAGGACTCATGGCAGAAATCTGAAAATTATAAACTTGCAAATAAAGCCAATAAATCCTTTAAAGATTTTCTTGACACGTTTTTTCTAATGAGAATTAGACTTTGAAAGAAATTAAGTGTTCTGAAGTATGCATCAAAGCAGGGATTGTGGTACCAAAATAATTAATTTAAATAAGATACCTAGTTCTTTAAAGAGTAAAATGTTCAACTGGTATATCCAGTCATCCCGCAAAGATACTGCTGCGTGGCTGTACATGTTAATTTGACCAATTACATGAACCCTTGAATGATATATTACCTACCGTAAATTAAGTTGGAAAAAAGGTTAAAAGCCAATTGAAAACTTAGTAAAAAAGTAAAAAATGAAAGTGTTTCAGCATTAATGCCTCTAAGTTTATGCTGTAACAAAAAAAAAAAAACATCTTTCTTTCGCTTTCTGAGTTCTTTTAATGGATTTCTTATAGAAGCACTTTTGTTATTTATCTCAATATATTAGGGCAAGTGGGTGTCCCTTGTTATCAATTTATCTTTATTGTCAAATACAACTTGCATTGTAATCGAGATTTCAGTTTTAGTACAAACCATGTTGACCCTGTGTTTTTTCTTTTCCTTTCAGACCGCTTCATGGGGAGTGTCACCATATCCAATATCACAGCCTCCTCTGCAGCTCTGATGTGGGAAAAGGGGCCTGGTGACATCAGCAGCTATCGCTTAGTGGTGCTCTCTGCTAAAGGGGACACGAATATTACCAAAACCCTCAAGAATTTGAGCTATGACCTTGAGGGTCTCATTGCAGGCACAGGCTATGACATCCAAGTGTTTCCTGTGAAGTGTGGCAGGGACCTCAACCCACAGAACGGCACTTTCTACACCAGTAAGTAGCTCATTAAAGCAGGCGATGCATCTGCTGACCAAACTTTTTAACCTTACATTTGAATTAAATGAAGTTTTTATGACGTATGTTCATAAATTACAAAGGTAAGGTGTGAAAAATTAAAAGCGTTAAGCTAAAAAGTGTTTATCTTGTTGCATGCCTTTTTAATACACATTCATTGGAAATATAAACATGTCTTACTGTAGTTTATAAATCCCCTAGATGTAGATTTTTACCATTTCTTATCCAACTACATACAGTGGGTACAGAAAGTATTTAAAAACCTTTAAATGTTTCACTATTTGTTTCATTGAATCCATTTGCTAAAATCAATAAAGTTGATCGTATTTCTCATTAATGTACTTTCAGCACCCCATCTTGACATAAAAAAAAAGAGAAATGCAAAAATTTGAGCAAATTTACTACAGAAAAACTGAAACATCATTAATGAGAAATAAGTTTAACTTAGCAAATGGTTGCATTGAAACAGAGTTGAAAAATTTACAGGGGTCTAAATACTTTCCGTACACGCTGTATTTACTTCATTTTTTTAAATAGGTGCTAGTTGATTGTTTTTTTTGCCTTTGCATAATTTAAAACGATATAAATTAAATCCTTTTGTTCTCTTTTTACACCTGAAAGTTGTGGTTGTTTGAAATAATGATATGCATTTCTTAAAATGTACTATTCACTGTCAGGTCTTTATAGAGCAGGAGCTGCCTGTAGATTTAAAAAGCAGATTAAATATTATTTTGTTTCATGAACATGTGTCAGAGTGGTGAAAGCTGCCACAGACTCTGATCTATTTTGCTTTGCGCTCTCACTTTTGCTTTCTGCTACCCCAGAAATATTCCTCTGCTTTTTTAAAAAACTAAAGTTTAACAAATTTCTGCTGCACTGGTTAAATGAGAACTTTTAGGCTTTACAAAAAGCATAACACTGCTTGAAGTACAGCTAACGTAGCCTTGATATGACTTAATAAGTAATACCAACCTGAAAAGCCTAACTGTGGGTTTGTTTCCTCCTCATAGTCCCTGGGAAGGTGGAGAACCTCACTGTGACCAATTATACAGAAACAACTGTCACTCTGATTTGGAAGAAGCCTGAAGGGAACTACGGCTTCTTTAAAGTTACAGCTCATTCAAACTATGTAGACACTGAGTCAATCGTTAAGGACAACATAACGGCAGAAAGTTTGGTGTTTGATGGTCTGACACAGGGAAACAATTACACTTTCTTTGTCACCACCGGGGTGGAAGACAGGACCAGGTGGAGCGATATCGCAACTATATCAGAATGTACCAGTAAGTTTACATCACTTTTCATTTAAACCGTCTGCTGCTGAGCTGTGTGTCCATCTGTTTAAAGCAGGGATGTCCAAAGTTCTGGCTCAGGGGTCATTTGTCTCACCACTGTTAAGTGAAAATGGGGACGAGCACCTAGGATGGCTTTAGGTAAACATTTCAACAGAATGAGTGATAATTAGGAGGAACACTTATTTTGATGATCCACCCGGAAAAGGAATATCCTCCACTATACCTTTAACTTAAGAAAAAAGACACAAACAGATTAAACTTTCTCATGTAGAGTGTAAAACATTATATGGCTTATAGTCTTATTAAAGACATTGCATTTTATTTCATTAATTTTTATAGAAATGTTATTTTACGTTTCATTGTCACAATCCTTAAACACAACAATAACAAAACATTGCACATGGAGGAAAAAAAGAGCAGGAGAACAATGGTTCTAAATTAGCGTTTAAATACAAGAAATGCATTAATCCAGTCAGACATCATTGTCTATGGCCTTTAAAAGCAAATACAAAAATATATATATAAATTTTTAATGAAAGAACAATATTTGTTAAGTTTGCAAAACAAGTAGTGAGCTTTGTCCCTGTCAATGAAGACACTCAAAGAGACAAAGGAAAAAAAGGACTTCATTAGCTTTTTTTTTTTGTTGCTTTTTTTTACATGCAAAGATTTATCTCTAAAATCTACAATTATGTATAGATCTTTCTTCTTCTCTGACAGAAATTGGACTACTTTGTTCTTTTCATTAAAATACTGCACAACTACATTTTTGAGTTAAAAAAAAAATGTAGAAACTAAAAACAGCTTTGGCCCCCTGAGTACTTCAACATGAAAGTTTTGGTTGCTTTGAACTTACCAGAGGGCCAGTAGAGGAAATATGAAATATAAACCCAAGTCCTTGCCTATTTAGGCTTTATCTGACATTCAAATCAGCAAAGGCAAATTCTAGCCTCAGTTTACCTGAACCATGACAGCTGCCTGCTCTTATTTGGGATAATATTCACTAACCTCACAGAGAGGCTTTGTCTGTTTTATAACCACCTGTCCACTCTCCCTCCTCTCTGACTCCCCCCCCCTCTCTCAGGTCCCAGCAAGGTGTCCAAGCTGGAAGCGTTTGATAACAGTGACACACACCTCAAGCTCAAGTGGGAGCCGCCAGAGGGAAATTACACAGGATTCGAAGTGAAAGCCATGGATAGAAATTTGTATGTATGAAGGGGTTAATGTCAAGGAAAGCACTAAATGTTAGGTTTTCTTATCATTATTTCACCCTTAACACTCAGGTCAACTTGGTTTTTTAATCACTATACAGAGCAAGGACTATATAGCGGACTTTATAGCGAACTCAGTCCATGCAGACAGGTGATACTCCTACTTTTTGCTCCCTGTCTGTCATGTGAGACCACCTCCCTGCAGGGTGCCTCCGCCATCTTTGTTATTAGTCACCGCTGTCGTGTAGTATCACAGGCCGCTGTTGCAGCAAATCCCATAATGCTTTGCAAGAAGAGCTCTCCTTGCAAAGCATTTCAGGATATATCTACTTGTCTAGTAACCATGGATGATCACTACTTTTCAAGGTGCATTTTGGGAAATTTCGAGTCCACTACTTTTTCATCCACTAGACATTCAGACACTCATCTAAAATGGCGTAACCCCCATAATGTGCCCTACATAGTGATTAGGGCGGACATTTGGACACAGCCCTTTTCTCTCTGTAATGCAAGTGTGTTTGTATTATAACAGGTTGGACCTGCAGGCTAATGTGACTTATCCGAAGGATCTCCTTGCCAAACCTTTTGAAGTTGAGGTGAAGGGCCTGCCAAATGGAAAACAGATTAACTTCAATGTGACGGCCATCAGCATTTGTAAATTGAACGGAGCCACTGTACATTTTACAACATACACTGGTACATCTTTTCTAATTCTTCAGTTGTTTATTTAATCTGTTTTATGGTTAATTTGTTGACATTAACCATTCTTTCTGACTCAAACAGCTCCAGGACCCGTCTCAAATCTGACCTTAGCAGCAGGTCCTGAATGGGTTTCAGCCAATTGGAGCTTTGATTCTAAACATGGAGAAGTTTCAAACTTCACAGCCGTGCTTTCACACAGTGGACACCTAGACCAAGAAAAAAACATAACAGCATATAATGTGACATTTAAAGATCTGAAAACTGCTACCAGATATACCGTGGACGTCTATGCCGTCACTAACAATCTGCGAAGTCCAAAGACGACAAATTTCATTTTTACCTGTGAGTTTACTTTATTAGATCATAAAGACATGCGTAATTAATATGCTGATATCAGATGATTATTACTTTACTTTTAAAGGTTTCTTGTAAAAAAAAAAAAAAAAACTTTCCTAAGTGTCTCTTTCTCTTTTCAGCCCCATCTCCTCCTACTGACGCCAAGGTCCTCAACAGTACAAAAGACTGCCTCAACTTTACATGGACTGCCCCAAAAAACTCATCAGCACGTGAATATATCTGCAACATCAAGTCGGATTTCTGGAACACAGACAATAATAAAACAGTCAATGAAACCCACTGCAAGTTTACGGGCTTGAAGTCAGGAAGCACCTACAACTTTCAGGTGTTCACCCTGAGCGACAACACGACCAGTCAACCGGCGAAGTGCAGCGGGACCACGGGTGAGAATCATTATAGCCGCATGGGCCTCAAAGAAAACTCGCAGATTTCTCACGTTAAAACCACAAAATCCAATTTTTAAGATTTTATACTGTATAACAACATGACAGAAAATGATGGATGGATATTTGCTGTGTTTTATATCTGTTTTATTTTCTCCCATTTCCATCATATCCAGGATTTAATCTATATATTATCTGCAGATTCCGTGCAACTATCACATAGTTTCTATGATTTAAAGGTATAGTGGAGAATTTTCGCAAATTTTTGAAAAAACCCTCCCTCTCCACTTTTAAAAAGAATGTGCATGTACAAAGCTGTACCCGCTCCTGAGAGGGAACGCCTCTTTAACACGTGAGAGCATGTGCAAGCACAAGTTGCTGTTTGTATCGCTCGTACAAGCTTACTTTCCAAAAGAAGATTAGCCATTTTTCTACTATGTCAGACTCACCACCAGTAAGTGAAAATGGGGACGACTACGTTGGACGGCCTTATGTAAACATATCACCAGAATAATTGACAATATTGACAATTATTGACTATACCATTAAGATATTTTGTCCATTTGTGTGGTCAGACACTAATGGGGGATGATAATGATGCTCAGTACTTCCACTCAAAACTCACACCTTCATATTTCTATGTACCTTGCTTTGTGAAATGGTATGTCATCCTGCTGAATAAGGAAGGAACGGTCTCTAACCTTTTACAATGGAACATCAAAGGTCAGACATGCTGCGTGACCTTAAAAGGGTTGTTTGACTAAATGCTCATATTTCCGAACCTCGTGACAAAGTAAAACTAAAAGCATCCCATTCTCACACTTACCCATTGCCTGGATTTATGTCTCTGTAAATGCCAATTTGTCCCATGAATGAGAGTCTGTTTAGGTGTTTAGTTTCCTCATCATCTGTTTGTCCTTCCAACAGTTGAGGATCCAGTGGAAATCGATCTGTCAATGCTCTGTTCCTCAGAAGCAACTCTGCATTGTGACAAAGGCGAAACCAGGGATAAAGTATTTGACGATGTAAGTCAGACAACACTTAGTCTGGGTAATTGTAACTTAGGTTTTACCCAGTTATGTTTTAACTTATGTTTTAAGTTATGTTTAGGTCTGCTGGGCAAAATATTGAGCTGTGTCTCTGTGTTCTGTTGCAGATGAAAACATATTTTGAGAAAGAGCTGGGACAACACGTTTACTATAAACTCCAGAAGGGCAGTTCAACTTAAAGATGTTATGGAAGTTTTAAAGTTTGATTTTTGAAACTCTATTTGAGAATTAGACATGGTAAGAAACATTAAATGATAACATAAACCTTTTGTTATGGAGTACTGAGGAACTTGTTAAGAAAAAGCTGTTTATAATTTTCTGTTAGTTTGCAAGTAGTTTTTATACATTTTCCAAACAAGCCAAGGTCTTTTCTACAGCGTAGAGCATTCTTTTTAAATAGCTTTGATCCGATCTTTAGCCTTTTTCTGAGGAATTTTCCTTCAGTTTGTACAGCGCCCATTCACAACAAATATAATCTCTTACTACCGTGCACCTTAAATCCAATTCCCATCCAGATGATCCATCCAGACATGTAGAACTGTTCAAGCTGACCTGCATAAAGCTCTGGTCTGTACAATGTCTTAAAAACAATAAAAATCCAAACACACTCCACATGTATATTAGTTTTATTTTACTTTCATGATATTTTTTTTCTCTCATTTACAGAGGAGTTTTATGTACAGAAAAAGAAAAAATTGAGCAGTCTGATCACATTGAAAAGAGATTTGTTATTAAAAAATAATGTGAGTCTATTAAACTTAAAACCCACTGCAACAACATGGTAGTGTTAGCAGTGCTGCTGATGGAATTCAAAGTGGTTAGATTATCTAACGACTGATTTAGGACAGTGAACAAACCGTATCATGTTAATGCCTTTGTTATATTTAAAGCAGGCAGATGTGAGGCCTCTGCAATAGCTTTCTCTATGCCTTAAATCCATCTCCAAATCATGAAAGCAATTCCTCTATTTATGTTTTATCAGTTGTATTTTTACTAGTTTCATATCACATATCATAGGTAAACCACAGAGAGGAGCAGCCTGTTTTAAACAGCAATAGCAGCTGCTCCACCAAAGAAAAATACCTAGAGATGCTATCTAGGGGTCTGTTTCATGAAGCAGGTTTAACAAACTCTGATTCAAATCAACATTTCTAAATTGATCTAGCCTAAAGTCAGGAACTCTGTTTGTTTTCACAACAGCTGCTATGAATTAATTCAATAAACTCTAAGTAGAGCCACTCAGAGTTAAGCACGTGCGTAACAAGAATGAAAAGCCATTATCAGTGGAGCAATGATCTGACGAGTCACCATGGCAACGGGAAGTGCTTATTTCACCCCACTGGAACCACTGATTTTAATGAAAAAATTAAAAAGAAAATTGAGAAGAAAAAGAAACAACACTACAGTGGCAAAGGAGATAAAGATGGCGAAGGAGAAGATTGTTGCCTGAGTTAATGTGTACGTTTATAGGCAGAGGGCTATGGCGAGACGTTTTTACATTTATTAAAAGCACTCTCCTCTATGTTGTTACATTTGTAAAATAAGATTCTTCCTGATCAAAACCACATTCCTAGAATGAACTATAATAATATATTTTCTAAATAACATTACATAGTAAGTGTAAGAGTAAGAACCATTTGCTTGTAGGCAGTTGAATCACAGATAACTGAATGAATATATCTGAGCTTGCATGTTTAATATGATCCTTTCTGGTTCATAAAAAAATAAAATGTAGCAAATCTTAAAAATCCCAGATGTAACTTGACAAGCCGGCCATAATTAGTGAACATCTAACTGCTGCTTTCTAAATTCTCAATTTTCCTAAGTGCATCTATGCTAAAGAATTACTGCTGGATAGATGGGAAATACTGCTTTGTTGAAATATTAATGCCCAAATAGCTTTATGCTGAAAACCTGGTAGATCTATCTAGTTTTGGAGTATAGTAGCTAAAGTCTAAAGGATGCTCATTTTTGTTGGTTAGGAGTTTTGCATTTTTAAATATTTTGTTCTTCACTGGGTGGCGCTATTTTCTTTTTTTTTCATTTGATAAAAGAAGAGAAGTTTGAAAATGTATCTTAGAGTAATTTAGGATCTCATTTTTATTTATTTTTTTATTTTTCCATAAAAAAGTTTAAAAAACAATCCACTGGACTTGTTTCCAAGATTTGAAGACGTTTTGCCACCTCTCCAGGAAACGTTCTCAATTCACCCTTGTATTGCTTGGAAACATGCAAATGGAAGGCAATCAGTGGGTCGTTTGGTTCCATTGTTCGCCTGTAATATCTGAAACCTGTCTGAAGGTCGGTCGTTAAAGGGGGGGATTGTAGTTAAATGGGGGGGATTGTCTCCTGTAATACCTGAAACCTGTCTATGATTGTTAAGGGTTTTTTTATTTGACATTTCTGAAAATCAATGTTGCCCTCATCCACTGACCCCACCCAAGGCCTTATGATAATGGAAAGGCTTTCTGATAAAATGTCTAACAACTTTATAAGACAATTTAAAACATGATTAAAATGTTTAATGTGGAAAAAAAGTCATTATGAATTTTTCTGTTAAAACACCAAACCAAAGACCTCTTTGAGGCAAAACAACTTGCAATCAGGAACTATTGTTCCTGAAAAGTATCTTAACGGTTGTTTTCTTAAAAAGATATGACAGGACCTTATAAATGGATCGTCTTTAGTTAGTATTAGCTAATAAAAACTTGTTGTTCTCATCTGTTTTTTTTTTTTTTTTTTTTTTGTCTTAAGACGCTTTCATTGGACTGAAATTCTGGTACACAAGCTGTAGTGGCGATTTCATATGTTCTTTAGTCAAATATATAAATGTTTGGCTCTACATTTAATTTAAAATAAAATGGGACAAAAATAAAATGCACTTTTTTTTTTACTTATAGGTTGATCATTTTTGCTTCAATAAAAATATAAAATCAACATTTGAATTGTTTTTGAGTAGAAATGTTGCTTTAATAACATTTAAGACACAATTATGTGGTAATGTTATGTATTTGTAAAGAAATGCAAAAATATAAAATGTTTTTTTTTGTTGCTAATGTCTGCTTTGTTCAACATGACCTAAGAGATTTTTTTCTCATTCTTTAATTATTAAGGTTTTTTGTATTTACCACTTTTCTATAAAATTCTCTGCCCCCATTTTACCATATTTCCTTTTTGTGTTATTTATAACTCATTTATGCCTTATTTTCCAGCTTTATGTTTGTTTTTCCTACCTCCAATCTAGGGGGGGGGGGGAGCAAGATTGCATCATGTAGTATAAATGCAAAGCTTTTCTAACCCTAACCCTATCTTTTCTGAATAATTTAAAGTAAATTGTAAAGGCAAACTATTAAACTGTTCCAAGGGATAAATCAGTCTCTTCTCTCTGCGAATATCATAAGAAATGTATTTAATATCACACTGCAAAGAATGAAATTAAAACAAAATGTTTTTTTATTTTTTAAAATAAGTGTATTTGCATTTAAACTAAGATAGTAATTATGATAATCTAACAAAAGGAATAAGTATTTTTCCAATTAAAAATAGTATGATTAATGTTATGCACTCAAAATAAGTTAATGGAGTCTTTCACATATTGTCTAACCTACTTGCTCAAATCAAGGGAAAATGCACTTATTCCAAGAAAAAAAAATTACTTGTGTAAAAATACTAATTAATATTTTTATTTTTGCACTGTATGTTTTTGGTACAGTGGCCATAACAGCAGCCAGGACCAGTTCTACAGGGGCAGTGACCCTTTTGGCTCCTGTCTAGAACCGCCCATGTTTTACAGTAATATGACTTTGGAGCTTTAATGTTTTTTTATTTTATATGAACTCTGGATTTAATGGCAAACCTTGCTCACAAAAAACAAATACACATAAATAGGTCAGGTTAAGCAAATTCAATGTAAATTTGACTGCTTTGTATATGCGGACATGATCCTATAACTCCACCCATTACAGAGAAACTAGCGTGTCTTCCAAGTACAAAGTACAAACTTTTCCGTTCTTTATCATAAACCAAAAAGTATACACTGTATATGCATTTTAGTTTGACAAACCCCAAACACATGGTATTAGATTTAAATAAAACGCAAAATCAAGTATTATAGGGAAAGTGAAAATGGTTTCAACATGTTTACAAGAAAAAAACAAACGATTTGACATGTTACACCCTTCAAGTCCATGTTTTACAAAACCAGCTCCTACTGCTTTTACAATTTTGGATCTTTTGAAGCACATTCATATTACCTTTTCACATCTAGAGGCTAAAATGTTTAAATGTACACATTTAGGTTATCTTCAGCAGCTTTAAAGAAGTGAACTGTTATATAATGGATGGTTTTGATGATTGCCCAGCAGAGGTTGTGACAAAATCTGAAAATCTTTAGAACTGTTTAAAGTAATATAAAGCATGTGGCTCACCTCAATAAATCCATCAAGACCAACTCGTATTAACCTGTAATTAAAGTTTTCAACCCTAACATATAGTCGGTACAGAGAGTATTCAGAACCATTTCCATTTTTCCCTCTGTTTCATTGCAGACATTTGCTAAAATCAAGTTCATTTTATTTCTAGATGTACACTCAGCACCCTATCTTGACAGAAAAAAAAACAAATGTAGAAATGTTTGCAAATTTATTAAAAAGAAAAACTGAAATATAAGTATTCAGACCCTTTGCTGTGACACTCATATTTAACTCACATGCTGTCCATTTCTTCGGGTCCTCCTTGAGATGGTTCTGCTCCTTCACTGGAGTCCAGCTGTGTTTAAATAAACTGATTGGACTTGATTAGGAAAGGCACATACCTGCTTATATAACACCTTACAGCTCACAGTGCATGTCAGAGCAAACAAGAATCATGAGGTTGATGGAACTGCCCAAAGAGCTCAGAAAGTTGTGGCAAAGCACAGAGCTGGCCAAGGTTGAAAAAGAATTTCTGCAGCACTTTATGTTCTTAGGCACAGTGGCCTCCATAACCCTTAAATAGAGTAAGTTTGGGACGACCAGAACTCTTCCTAGATCTGGTAGTCCAGCCAATCTGAGCAATTGTGAGAGAAGAGCCTTAGTGAGAGAGATAGAGAAGAACCCAAAGATCACTGTGACTGAGCTCCAGAGATGCAGAGGGAGAGGGGAGAAAGTTCCACATAGTCAACTATCACTGCAGCCCTCCACCAGTTAGAGAGGCCAAACGGAAGCCTATCCTCAGTGCAACACATATGAACGCCTGCATGGAGTTTGCCAAAAAACACATGAAAGACTCCCAGACTATGAGAAAGAAGATTATCCTGGTCTGATGAGACTAAAATTGAACTTTTTGGTGTTAATTGTAAGCGGTATGTATGGAGAAAACCAGGAACTGCTCATCACCTGCACAATACAATCCCAACAGTGGAACATGGAGGTGGCAGCATCATGCTAGGGGAATGTTTTTCAGCTGCAGGGAAAGGATGGCTGGTTGCAAATGAAGGAATGATTAATACGACCAAGTACAGTGTTATCCTGGAAATGAACCTCTTCCAGAGAGCTCAGGACCTCAGACTGGGCAGAAGGTTCACCTTCCAACAAGGCAATGACCCTCAGCACAAAGCTAAAATAAGAAAGGAGTGGCTTCGGAACAACTCTGTGGCCATTCTTGATTGGTCCAGCCAGAGCCCTGACCTTAACCCAATTGACCATCTCTGGAGAGACCTGAAAATGCCTGTCCACCAACGCTCACCATCCAACTTGACAGAACTGGAGAGGACCTCCAAGAAAGAATAGCAGAGGATCCCCAAATCCAGGTGTGAAAAACTTGTTGCATCATTCCCGAGAAGACTCATGGCTGTACCAGCTCAAAAGGGTGCTTCTACTCAGTACTGGAGCAAAGGGTCCGATTCTTATGATGATGTGATTGTTCACTTTTTCTTTTTAATACATTTGCAAAAAGTTCTACATTTTTGTTTTTTTTCTGTCAAGATGGGGTGCTGAGTGTACATTTGTAAGAAATAAAATGAACTTTATTGATTTTGGCAAATGGCTGCAATGAAACAAAGGGGGGAAATTAATTAAAGGGGTCTGTATGCTTTCTGTTCCCACTGTGTATCATTACAGGTAGTTAAAGTTAATGAGCCAAAAGATATTATCTAAATGTAAAGTAGCGGCAGTGTCATGTATGGTTTTATTACTGGAGG